TTAATGTTTTATTTTTGAGAGAAAGAGAGAGACAGAGCATGAACAGGGGAGGGCAGAGAGAGAGGGAGACACAAAATCCAAAGTAGGTTCCAGGCTCTGAGCTGTTAGCACAGAGCCTGATGGAGGGCTCGAGTCATGAACAGTGAGATCATGACCTGAGCCGAAGTTGGACACCTAACCTACTGAGCCACCCAGGTGCCCCGGTATCCACACTTCTGATGAGAGTACTGAGGCCAAGTGGGAAAGTAGAGTTTTCAAATTCACACACCCCCAGGACAGGATAGCAGCCCCTAGTAATGGAAGCATTGTTTCTTTCTTATTCTGCATCTGTAAAATAGGGTTCCTGAGCAGGAAAATTCCTATTTCAGAGGGTTCATAGAGTGAAGGATTGCACTACTGTGTGAAGCACTAAGCCTGGCACAAAGTGAGCATTCAATACACGTTTCTGAATATTAATAACCATTTTATGCTTCAACCTCCAAAAGATCCAGGAAGTCAATACAGAGGATTAGAGTCCTTTATTGGGGGATGTCAGCAAAGAACACAGGAGATGGGAACAAGTCTTAGGGGCTTGAGAGGGGCTTAGAGTAGAGGAGCCCATCCTGGGAGAATGAGAGAATGAGCAAGTCCCAGGCCTGTGTAGGAAGCTATCAGGGGGTACCTAGGGGTATGGTGAAGGAGAGATAGTCACCAAGGGCACCCCAACGGGGCCGGTAGATCTGGAAGATGGTGATCCAGGTTGTGAGTACAATCACCCAGAAGAGGAAGCCCACAGCTGAGCGCCAGACATCTGTAAGAAGGAACAGGATTGGGTAAGGTTGGCCTCCAACTGCCCTCTGGTCTCCCCCAGACTGGCCCTCTCTTCTCTTTGGGAGCCCCAGAATTCTGAAACCTCCATCATTCCCTCTGGACACCCAATGGCCTCCCTTCATCTGTGTCCTAGACTCACAGCCTTTGATTTGGCTCTGCTCTGTGTACGCCGGGACTAGGAACGCCTCTCGGAAGAACCAGAAGATGTTGACCAACCAGAGAAAAGGCAGGAAAGCAAACCCACCTAAGAGAAAACAAAACAAAACAAAACAAAACAACAACAAAACTGTAACAAAAAGCAGTGACATTCACCCCTGCCCCAAACTTCTACATAGAGGACAGAAGGCCCTCTCCCATGTCCAAGTTCAAATGGAGATCTCTATCAGAGATTTAGGAATTCTGGCTCCTCCCTGTGACCCAAAAATCTGACTCTTCAATCGTCTATTTCTCAGGACCCAGAATCCAGCCCCACAGCTTCCCCCCGTCTCTTGGGACCCAGAAGTTGAGGCCCCAGCTTCCTCTTTCCTCAGGTCTCAGACCCTTCCCTCAGACCCAGGAGTCCGCAACTAAGACCCAAGAATCCAAGTCCCCAGGTCCTCTTCCCTCAGGCGCTCTAGTCCTGTCCCCGTCCCCTCTCTTCTCCTGGGACTCTAGGAATCGGCCCTTACCCAGGTAGTACTTCCGGCACAGATTTAGCTTCTCCTCGTTGGACACCCGCTCCAAGTTCATAGTTGCGCTGAGGCGGAGTCGTCCCGAGGGTCTGTAAGGGCAAGAGCCGAGCCTTGACCCCAGGTGACAGATGCAGGGATCGCGAACAACCACGCCCCTATTACGACAAAACGGAGATAAAACTGAAGGGTGGGTTTGCTGAAAGAAGGGTACTCCGGCCCCCACCAGCAAGCTGACAGGGTTGAACGCTCTTCACGTTTATTGGGGTACGCGAAACGACCCCCAACTCACCAGTGGAACCTATTTCCTCCGCTTGGAAGCCTTTGCCACATTCAACTCCGGACGTTTGCGCGAGATACCGCAAGTATCTCTGGAGTTTGTAGTCTTTTTCAGTGAGGCAACGCTGCACGCATGCGCCTTCGGGGAACTCCGGGAGGCGGGATTTTGCGGGGAGGGCGCAGGTCTCCAACACGCAAGCGCAGCAGACGGTCTAGGCGCGCGTGCGGTGGAGGGAGGCAGCGACAAACTACACTTCCCAATGCTCTAAAGCAACGGAAATGACGTAAAGAGCCGACTGAGTTGGAGGGTTCGAGTAAAAATGGCTGAATATTTAGCTTCGATATTCGGGACTGAGAAGGACAAGTGAGAACGGGCGCAGGGAGTGGCCCCCTGCGGGGACCGGGGCCGGGACATTTGGTTCCCTGGTGGCTGGGAGGCGTTGGGCGGTGTTTCTGGGGTGTCCGGCCTCCCCGGCCCTCGGTTCACCTCTGTCTTTGCACCTCTTCCAGGGTTAACTGCTCTTTTTACTTTAAGATCGGGGCCTGCCGGCACGGGGACCGGTGCTCCCGGCTTCACAACAAACCGACTTTCAGCCAGGTGAGACCCGGCACGGAGCCTTGAGGGTTAACGCCTCCCAGCCATTCCCCTTCTGTTGTCCATCATCACGAGGTCCCGCCTTTTCCGGATTTCAAAGGCCCACCTTACCACCGGCTTTTTTCCTGTCGGGCCTCTGCGGGTTCCTCCCCTTCCCTCAGGTCCCTCTCGCCACGCCCCCGTACTTACGAACTACACTGCTGGGCTGTCCCTGACTGCTAGGTTTCTCTTCTGGTTTCCTTAAGCGCAAGCATCGCTGATGCGCTCAATCAAGGTGCTTAGGCTTCTTCTCTGTTGCCTGGTCTCAGCCCCAACCTTCATACCCCACCCCTTTGCATGAACTCAGGCCCCCGCCCCCTTTAAATTCTGTTCAGACCATAGTGCTGCTCAACCTGTACCGGAATCCACAGAACACCGCCCAAACCGCAGACGGATCACACTGTGAGTGAGGGGCCGGTCTTGGGGGCAGGGCAGACAGACCCCGGCAGGCCACCCCCTGATTTCATCCTGCCCCCTCCTCCAGGTCACGTGAGCGACGTGGAGGTGCAAGAACACTATGATAACTTCTTCGAGGTGAGGGTTGGCAAGGGATGGGTTGAGTTTCCTGTGGGCCAGGAGCTCCGCTGAATGCGTCCTGATCTTCCGCAGGAGGTGTTCACGGAGCTGCAGGAGAAGTACGGGGAGATTGAAGAGATGAATGTGTGCGACAACCTGGGGGACCACCTCGTGGGCAATGTCTACGTCAAGGTGTCTGCTTTCCCCCCAATAGAGCCTACAGGTGGAGGCATTTCAGTGTCACCACTGAAGCCTCACAGCTTGAGGTCCATCACCAAATCCAGCCCAGCCCCAGAGCTGCTAACTGATTCCCTAAAGACTTCTGAGTTTGCCAACCCTGATCGGTTTTTCCCTTAGTTTCGGCGTGAGGAGGATGCAGAGCGGGCAGTGGCTGAACTCAATAACCGCTGGTTCAATGGGCAGGCAGTGCATGCTGAGCTGTCTCCTGTCACCGACTTCCGGGAGTCGTGCTGTCGGCAATACGAGATGGGGTATGGTAGTACGGGGGTGGGATGGGCACCAGGAGTTCCAGACTCCTGTGTGTTGGGAAGCTGTCATCGACGGCAGCGTCCTCCATCCATCTGTCCCCTACCCAGGGAATGTACCCGGGGTGGCTTCTGCAACTTCATGCACCTTCGGCCCATCTCCCGGAATCTTCGACGTCAGCTGTATGGGCGAGGACCCAGGCGCAGGTACCTCAGGATCAGCTTGTCAGGATGTCTCATACCCTAAGGCCTTTGTACCCTGGGATGGACCTTATCCTATGTCCCCATAACAGCGTGTCTCTTTTAGATCCTAAGACTAGTTCTGAGCATCATCCCAGGACCAGTGCCTAAATCTCAACCCCAAAACCAGCTGGAACTCCAAACCCCCAAACCCAAGACCAGTCTGGATCTCCAATCCAGAGATCAGTTCCTGAGCACCTGTCCTGATACCACTCAGTAACTCTGGTTATTTCATCACCTGCCCTGCCCTACCCCAGAACTGAGAGGCAGGCCTGGGGAAGTGTGCAACATTTTTCACAGCTCTAACCCTCATCTCTCCTCTCCTGTTCCCAGGTCACCCCCAAGGTCCCATACTGGTCACCGCCCCCGAGAAAGAAACCGAAGACGTTCCCCAGACCACCGGCATGGCCGCTTCTGAGACCCTGGCTCCCTTGACCTCCACCCCTGACAGGCATAAATGTTCCTGGCCAGAACACCTCCTGAAAGCTTCCTTACCTCCCCAGCGCCGTCTTCCCCAGGCTCCGGGGCTCCGTGATGTTAATCTGTTAAACACAGGGACCTTCCTTTACCACCCTTCCCCTAATAAAGTTCTGTATTGAGGGTTTAGAACCTGTTAGCTTGAGCCTAGCTGTGGGCTGGAGTTTCCTTCCACCCCCGCATCTCCTGACGAAAAGGGGAAGCGGGCTGGGCTCTGGCCACAACTTCAGCTGAAGAACTTCCAGCAACAGGTGGGAAAGCAGCAGGCTCAGGGCCCAAGGCTCTAGAAACCCCTCAGTGGGACCGGTAGCAGTGGGGACGCTTTTGTGCTGGGAACTTCAGGACATTTCTCAAAGGCTTCTCAAGGGGGAGGTGCCTGATTGTGGCAGGTTGGAGGATTCCCAGCCCGGAGGAGATTGGGGTTAGGAGCTAAGGTAAGGCCCCTGGGAGTTGAGTGGGAGTCTCCAGAGGGTGAGGTCCGGGTGCTCCATGCCAGCTCCCCTGAGGTGGGAGTTCCTGATACCTAATAGTTAAGCTTACTGTATGCTAGGTGCTGTTCTAAGCAGTTTACTTCTAGTAATGGTTTTAAGTCTTCGAAATAAACCTTTGAGACAGGTACTGTTCTCCTGCTTTAGGAATGAGAAAAGAGGTAAGGAAGATGGCAGCGGTGGGATATGAATCCACTCTGTGGTTCCTGAGTCCTCATTCTAGCAATCTAGAGTCCTTGGTGGTCCTTCTAATAACGGGTCAGGAGCTGGACTAGGGGCTGGGGGTGGGGGGCGGTAGGTTCCCCGTCTTCCAAAACGGTTTGGGTATCCCAAGCCCCCACATCACTGCTTCCTTCTTCTGCCCCGGTTTCCTGGAAAGTGTGACAGAGGCGCTGTGGCCGGAAGTTCTGTGGTCACGGCCCCCCAGGCTACAGACCCCGCCCGGATGGGGCCCCTACGCCGCCTCCTGACTGCGGCACTACTTCTGGCTCAGGCTGCGCCTCAGGAGGCCTCCCAGCACTGCGGGCGCCTAGAGTACTGGAACCCTGATAACCGGTGCTGCAGCAGCTGCCTGCAGCGCTTTGGGCCGCCCCCCTGCCCGGGTGAGGAGCAGGGGCCGGGGTATGAGGGCGGAGCCAGGAGGTGATAAGGAGATGGGGAAGGGACGAGGTCTGTGGATTATTGTCTGTGAGGCTTCCTTCTGCGTGGGGGCGGGCCGGCCCTATGCAGATAAGACAGCAGGGGCGCTGAGCCTGTGACAGAAGGGATGGTATGGGTTACGTTAGTGCCACGGCGAAGTGGTCCTGCCAGTGAGAGGGGCCGGATCTCGGCGGTGTTCAGAGGGTGGGCTGTGTGGCTAAATCGGGAGTGGGTGGGGCTTGGTGCCGAAGCGGGGCGGGGCCTGTGTAGAGAGGTTCTTGAGCCTGCTTGGCCAGTGCAGGGAGGGTGGCACGTCCACTGATAGGGTGGGTGAGTAGAGTACAAGGTCGGGATAGGACAAAGGGGAAAGGGCGTCGTTAGTGCAGAAGAGGACGGGCTGGGCGGCCACACGTGAGACTTTGTTTCCCACCAGACTACGAGTTTTCGGAAAACTGCGGATTCAATGATTTTGCCGACCACGTGACATACCCCTTCAAAGAGTGTCCCTTTGGGCAGTGCAACCCCGACAATGCGGAGCTATGTAGCCCTTGTGGCGCCGGAGCCACGGCCCCCGCTCCCGCAGGGAGCAGGAGCGGAACCCAGCGTCGCTGCAGAGAGGTGCGGGTAGGCCCCGGAGGGCCTGGGAAGGGGTGCAGCCTGTCGCAAGCGGGACAGGGGCTGGGGGGCGTGGTTTGGGGTTAGGTGGGCGGGGTCTGGACTAAGGGAGGGCGTGCAGTCCCACTGAAGAGAATAATAGGGTTGGGGGAATAGTAGTATCAGGAAACCTACCTGGGTTAGGGGGTGGGTCGCTGGCTCAGGTGGGGATTTAGTCCCACTGAGGGATATAAGGATGGGAGGTTCAGGCTGAGGGGGGCAGAAGTGGGTGGGGCACGCCTCCAGCTTTACTCCAACCTATTTGCAGAAGCCGGTCCCTCCCAAGGAGCCCTGTCCTCTCAAGTCTGGGAAACCCAGAGTCTATAGCTCCCAGGAGCCCAGCCCATCAGCGATTTCCAGTGTCTCCTGGACACCTGAGCGCAACGTCACTCAGCAGGCCTTGCCGAATTTCGCCCTGCCAGTGGTGCTGGTTCTCATGGTGCTGGTTCTGCTGGTGACCTCAGCAGTGATCCTTCTGCTTGCCCAGCGGTGTCACCGCCGGGCAAAAGTCCTCCATCCCTACCCCGGCTTGGTTTGTGGCGACACCAATATCCATACGGTCTTCTCCTTGCCCTCGTCCTCTCCAGGCTCCCTGGAGGCATCAGACGCAGGGGATAAGGTCTCTCTGGTTCCACTCCTGGGCAGAGGTTAGTCGGGGATGTGCCAGGGAGGGAAAAGGTGGACTAGAAGATTGCCCTTCCTCTTCCTCACCCCTCCATTTGTCTCCCAGAACTGCCGAGTCTGGCATCACAGCCCCTGTCTCGCCTCCTCGATGAGCTGGAGGTGCTGGAGGAGCTGATAGTGCTGCTGGATCCTGAACCTGGGCCAGGTGGGGGGATGGCACGCGGCACCACGAGACACCTGGCGGCAAGGTACGGAGTGCCCGCTGCCTGGTCCACCTTTGCCTACTCACTGCGACCCAGTCGCTCGCCACTGCGGGCTCTGATCGAGATGGTGGTGGCAAGGGAGCCCTCTGCTTCTCTGGGGCAGTTTGGCACACACCTGGCCCAGCTGGGGCGGGCAGATGCACTGCAGGTGCTGTCCAAACTTGGCTGATCTGGGGCTTGTTCGGCCTACTCCTCAATAAAGTTTCCCATGAATTGCCTGCTGCCTCTGGGCCTCATTAAGGTGCCCTTTTGAAATACGGTCTTAACTGGGCCAAGACCCAACGGGAATCCCCTCATCCCACCATGCGCAACTAGACCAGATGTGGGAGCCGGCCTCGTGCCTCTGGGCACCCATGGTCCCGAGAAATGGCCCTGCTACCCTGGGGAGAGCTCATTCACAGGGGCCCAGCCGGATTCTAACTGGGAATATGTTGAACATTTGTTGCTCCGAAGCCTTAACAGACCCTCACAATTTACTTGTAATTCTGAGTGATAGCCTCACCCTTCTATGGAGGCTGACAGGCTTCCCGGGCTAAGGCATGGCGAAACGGGAGCTCCTACCTGCCCCCAGCACCACACCAACGGGAACACCACCTCTCCAAACATTGACAGACTTTATTACGGGAGGTTCCCACCTGGGATCCCACCCTCTTAAATAAAAAAGTGCATAGAAAAGAAGGGATTTAGAAACCTTTGTACAGTATCTACATCCTGGGCCCCCAGGGCAGGAAGGGGGCGATTGCTGGGTGGGGTGGAGGCAGGGCCTTTGCCACCTGCATGCCCACATCCACCCTGAACAGGAGGGTGGGGGTGAGATGCTCTGGGAGGGACGAGGGAGCCCCCAGATGAGGGGCAAGATGGCAGCAGGGGGTGTGGTGGGCAGCCACGGCTTCAGTTCAGGAACCGACGGCAGCGCTTGGCGCCACAGTTGCAGGGCAGCTTGTTGCTGGCATCCTCAATGGGGAACTTGTAGTCATAGGTGAGCTCCTCACCACGTAGGATGCGGCGCAGGGCGAAGATGACGATGTGCTTCTGGCCCTCCACGTGGATGACTCGAGAGAAGCAGTTGGGCTCACACGAGTGGTTGATGAAACGGGCAGCATTGCCGTGCATTGTGGCATCCACCACATCAAAGTCATCCATGCGGAACATGTAGCACCCGATACCCTACGGGGATAGGATAGGGCAGTCAGGTGCTCCGTTCCCACGGATCAGCCCCACTTTATCCCCTCGTTCCCACGGCCTGGGGGAGCCCACCTTCCCGTCGTAGAACTTCTCCCGCTTGTCAGTCAGCACAGAGCGAATGACGATACCGGAATACTCAATGACCATCTCGCCGGCATCGATGTTGCGCTTACAGAACAGGCCCCGCCCATGGATGGCAGATCTGTGGGGTAGGATAGGCAAGGGGGAGCTCAGGGGGCAGGGGGACAGAACCAAGGCAGCCCCACACCAGGGCACCTGTCCATCCACCCAAGGGGCATCCTCCCCCCCAACCCCACTAACCTGTAGACACCCACAGCCTCTTTGGATGTCTTCTTGAGGTGGCGAAAGCGCATGGCCATGGGCAGCTCCAGGCTGGTGGCACGTCTGGTGGGGTCAGCAGTGTCACAGGCTGGTACCCAGGAATGACCTCTCTTGCCCCTGGTCACCCTCTTTAGGACCCTTCCAGAACACCCCCAGCACCCTGGCCTGCCCTCCATACCTGGTTGACCTGAGCTGCACCTCATCCTCTTCCTCGTCACAGGTGGCTCCCTCAGGGAGCACCCGGTGCTGGGAGGCCAGGAAGTTGAACATGTCAAAGGTACACTTCCTGCAGCAGAGAGAGGAGGAAAGAAGGGAGGATCACAGCCATTCCTTCAAAAAGATGCCACCTACCTACCCATTGGCTTGGGCCTGCCGCTGACAAAAGAAATACCGCTACCACTGGAGACAGAGAAAAGGGGAATGGAGGGGGTTCGTTCTTCCGATGTCAACTTTAGGAATAATTCCTGGAGTGGCCTGGCATCTTCTCCCAGGCCTCAGTTTCCAATCTCTACAGACTTCATTCCCATGCTTGAGAACTCCCACAGGGCTCCCCAGACCTCTCACCGGAGATAGACCTCGGCACGGGCTGCCCCGTGGGGATTCAGGGGTGGTTCCTCCTGGCCCTCTCCCTGCTGGTGGTAGCGGAACTTATAGTGCTGGCAGCGCTGGGCCCCGGGAAGCTGCTCTGCCAGGAAGATGACAGCGTCGTGGTGGATGCCCAGGAGCCTTGCCCCGCTCATTCCTGGGGAGAGTCAAAGGTGAGGACACACAGGTCATGGCAGAGGCCCACCTTGTCCTCTGGGAGTCCTTCCAGCATCCCTGTGGGCTCTCCCCACTTACCACTGAAGGAGAGATGTCGGAGGCGGGCGTGCCCTCGGGCCTCTTGCACCTTCTCAATCAGAGTTCTCCATGCCCCTGAGGAGGGAGCAGGGCCAGAGCAGTCAGGACGGTGCTCCACCAGACACCTGCCCTCCGTCACCACTACTCCCGACTCACCCTCCAAGCTCTCTGCCTCCACGCTGAACCCATCCTCACTGCTGATCTCAAAGCGCAGATGTGGGCCAGCCCGTTTGGGGGCCTGGTTCTCTTTGTCCTCTGGGGATGGAGGCTCTTCCTCGGAGCTCGAAGCCTCACCTGATCCCAAGCAGCAGGTCACAGTAGGTGAGGGTCACCACTCCTGGACTCCAGAGTCCCCGGTTCCCCACCACCCTCCCTTCCTCTCCCTGCACAAGCACAGATACTTGGTCGGTGGCTCTCTTCCTGCTCTAATTACCCAGCGAACCCTACAGGATGGACATTATTATTCTTTTTAGTGTGTACTTACTTATTTTGGAGAGAGAAGAGAGAGAACGAGCACAAGCAGGGGAGGGACAGAGAGAGAGGGAGACAGAGGATCCGAAGTGGGTCTATGCTGACAGCAGAGAGCCTGATGCGGGGTTGGAACTCACAAACTGTGAGATCATGACCCAAGCCAAAGTCAGGCACTTAACTGACTGATCCGCCCAGGCGCCCCTGGACATTTTTTTTTTTCTACAGGGCCTGCGGTCCCTTTTCTATGGGAGTTCTTGGCTAGATGAGCATTTACACAGAGGCCTGGAGTGCCCTGGCTCTGCAGGACACACTTCTGGTTCATTCAAACCCAGTTTACAAAAATGCCTATCTACACCCCTCATTCTTTCTCTCACAGAGAATTTAAAATACCAGAGAGGTGCATTTTACACATGTATTTTTATATACACAGCATATCTGTATAAATACTGCAAATTTATTATCATATAGGCCCCTAACCACAGAGTCAAATACGTGTATCTTATGAGCTATTTAAGGGATCTCTCAGGGGCCAAAGATTTGGAAAACATAGAAGACAGAAGTTGTTGCTATAGGAGATGTAGATATGAGAGACAGTGGAACGTCAAGGACAGCTCAGGTTTGGGACCTGAACACCCAGAAGGACAAAACTGCCAATGACTGAGATGATGAGGGAGAGGGAGGAACAAGTTTGGGGTGAAGGTCAAGAGCTCAGTCTGGGACATGCTGAGTCTGAAATTCCCCTTAGAGAACCTGCCCTTGCAACCTGCTGGGGGAAACGGCAAATAGGTGGCAGGATCTAGGAGCCCAGCAACCAATCTGAGGGCTGTCGGAATTAGAGATGGGATCCAGAGCCATGCAGTAGCTGAGAACATCTGAGAGTACAGATAGAGAAGTCAAAGCCAGGGCCCTGGGACATGCCAAAGTGACAGGCTGGGGCAATGACGAGGTATAACTAGATTGGTGAGGAGAGGGGTGGAGTTCTGGAAGCCAGAGAAGGAAGTGCTGCAAGGAGGGAAATCAGTGCAAATGCTGCTGCTTGCTTAAGCAGGGTGTGGACTGAGGACTGTCATGGCTGGGGAGCGGGCGTGGGGGGAACCTAAGTTTGAGTGGAGTACACTTTAGGAGAGAGGCAGGACCCACTGTGGCCGCACTTTCTCCCCACACCACTTCTCTGCGCCAACCTGACTGCGTGCCCTCCCAGCCCTAGGCATGCCTCTAAACCTGATTTGCTGTGCGACCCACATCATCTCCAGGCCTCAGTGCCCCTGCATCCACCTCTGACAGTTTCTTCTACCTCCTCTTTGCCCTTGCCCCATCCTCTCCTCCATTGTTCCCTGAACCCAACAGGCTGACTACAGGGGCCTCAGCCAGGCGCTCTCATTGCCTTCTTTCTCACGGTGCTCGTTCTCAGCTGCAGTACACTTGCTGATGTACGTGTCTGTTTCCTCTACCAAAATGTGGTGTGGTCCCTAAGGGTGGGGACCTGTCCGTCATGGTCACTGCCATAACTTCACACCACCTCTGACCCCCATACGCAGTCTTTCAGTTAAGCAGTGTCTGTCTACCTCGCTCCGCTTCCACGCTCAGTAACTCAGCACTACGTAATGAGAGAATCCACACATGTGGACAGGACTCGGGCCAGGAGAAATTCCGAGCCTCAGGCTGCTCAGTTGCCAGCTTGCTTGGCTGTAACCTACCCCTCTGCCGCGGTCCTCTGTAACCAACACAGCACTGCCCTCCTAGCTTCACTGAGGTTGGCAGCCCAATCCACTCTGTGTGCCCCCATCCTGTGTCCTGATGTCTCTGCCAGTGCGCTAACCTCACCTTTCCCCCAACGCAGCAGTCTCCTATTCAAACCCAACCACCATGCCTCCTCCCACCTCCGCTTCCATCCACAAGCCCCCTTCCCCCTCCTCCGTGGCTCTGCTGTCTCAGCCCTCACACAAACCCCTCTAGGTTGCTGCCTTCCCCTCAGACCCTTACACAACCTTGCTGGCAAGATGCCTAAGTCTTGTTTTGGCTTCCTCATCAACCACAGTCTTCAGTTCTGGACCCTGATACAGCATCCTTCCCAGCCGGTACACCAATCCTAAACCCCACATGCCTGGTGTTCTCTGAGGGAGTTAGGACTACCGACTATTCCCTTCCCAGGGCCTCTGGGACACCACTCTCCTGTGATCTCCTTCCTACTGTTCCTGCCCCTCTGGGTCCTAGGTGAGCTCTATCCTCATTGGCACCCAGGTGCTCTTATCTAGCTGCATGGCTCTGAATCCCATCCCATTGTGACAGCCTCCCCAGCTGCTCAGCTTTACTAGGAACCTAACCCTCTGA